CAAACTTTTACTGAACTCTCTGTATGGTAAATTCGGTATGGATCCGCACCTTCTAGAATGGAGACTGCTACCTGCGGATCCAAACTCTCTAGATTTGTTAAAAATCCGGCTGATATTATAGAATTGGATAATATGGCTTTAGTTGGAACAGAAGTAGTTAAAAATCAAAAATAGTGTTCCCAAGTAAAGATATAGAACAAGCTAAAGCTGTCTTAGCTCAAAAACTTAATTTAACTCTACACGAATTAGAGAGTCAGTTGAAAGAATCTTTAAAAACTCAAAAGGAACTTGAAAACTTAATGAAACCTGGAACATACTTAAATATCTCTTTACCGATTAGTGCTGCGGTTACAGCCTATGCGAGAATGAATATTTATCAGTATAAAGATAGCGTTGTAAAACAGGGCGGAACACTATACTACTCTGATACTGACAGTATTTTTACTAGTATGCCCTTACCTGAGAGTATGGTGAGTGCGGAACTAGGAAAAATGAAACTGGAATATGTGGCAAGTAGAGCGGTTTTCTTGGCTCCGAAAGTTTATACAGTTCAATTAGAAGATAATTCAACTAAATTTAAAATTAAAGGAAGTAAAAGCACCTTTGGACTTAAATACGAAAATTTAGAGGAACTGCTCTATAAAGAATCCGTACTTAAAATCACTCAAGATAAATGGTATAGATCCTTTACAAATAGCACTATTAATATTCGCGAAACTCTATACACACTTAAAGTTACCGAGAATAAACGTGCTTTGGTCTATACGAATAATAAATTTGTGTATACGAAGCCTTTTGTTTTAGATAGGTAATTGCTGGATGTATAGAGCGGAGGAGGCTTCTTTGCCTATTAAATTTCCTTCGTTACACGGGCCCTACCTGCATAAGTGCGAGAGAGAGGGGATGGTGATAAGGGGCCCCCATGTTGCAACCGGCAGGAGTCGAACCTGCATTCATGCCAAGATACGACATTTCATGTTACCTTGCGCCATATCATTCCTGCATCGAAGCACGAAGGGCGTCGATACTAATATGATCTTATGGAGTCTTAAAACGCAGGACTGGTTTGCGCACGTGCGACTTTTTGTAGTTGGCTTAGTTCTAGCCAATTAAACTACGATTGCTATGAGAATTTATAGAA